GATATGAGAGGCTCGATGGCCTTAGAGCAACCGTTTTTGCTTACTGAGCAGAACATCATGAGTCTAATCTCAAGCCCATCCACATTCAAGATTCGTCAATGATTAAAAAGGAGCTCGTCTGCCTAGTGGCAAACGTTTTTGCTTACTGAGCAGAAGACCATGGGTTCAATTCCAAGCTCCTTCGCGTTATACGATCGTTAGGACCTAGGGGCACGTAATAACCTTCAACTCCAACGCAGGCAATGGCTGTAATTAAATTAATTCCATTAACTACTGCTTTAATTACATTAATTTGACAATGTACAACATTAACTACTTTTTAAATCCATTAATTACAGTTGAAATTTCGTAATTAAAGTACATTAATTACATTTTCAATACTTTTAATTACATTAATTACGGATAGATAATTTCAATTACCGTCAGTACTACTTCAAAACGCATTAATTACTTTAAGTACTTTGGATTGCATTTTAACTTCAACGCACTGGTTCTTTGTATTGCGTACCCCTCGGTTAGGACATCAATTCAGCTTATCGTTTACCAAAACGAACCCTACTGCTAACCCAACCCTCTTACCCAACATCCCTGTGATTCCTCGTGGAAGTGCAGAGGACTCCTCGGCTTCCATCAAAGCGAGTGTCACGTCAACACATTCCTACCCATTCCTTTCTTGGCCTGCGTTCAGGCGCGGCTGGCGCTGGTATTGCCTAATTCGAGATCACCAGTTTTTACACATTGAGGATGATTGCTAATCCCAAGCATCGTCTATTGGTTCTCTGTGTAATCCCTAATAAAAAATAACCATAAACGAACGACAACCCAAATAATAGAACTATTCCACAAATGGTTTGGATTATACCAGGAACACGTCGTTAAGCAAAATAACCATAACAATTTTATTAGGGATTACAGCTGGTCTGGCAATAACAGAGTAGCAACCGTGGGCGGTCAATCATGCTCATGCTCATGCTCAACCTGGATCGGGTATCAAGATTGGGTTTGTTTGTTGTCTTTCAAACGTCAGTGTAATCCCAGCCGAGGTAGGTGGGATTTTTCTGAGGCATAGAAATATCTGGTCACGTCTTCCTTCGGAAGGGAAGTAAAGCCGTTGGTCCCGGCCCATGTGTATTGAATTGTGAATGGGTGTGATATCCTACGCAGGTGTGGAATAAGAGTCCACATTGACATCGGTTCCGAGGCTCCGGAATCCAATTTCTTGAATCCCGAGATACGGTACGGTAGGTTATAATTATATTGGAGAAAACCATATCATGCGGCACTTCAAATCATAATAAAATGTGAATGTTACGTCAACGAAAACAGATCTAAATGCATCCAAAGACATATGACTACATTGGCATCGGTCTAGAGATCCCAGAATCTGTTTCTATAGGCCCTGCGTAATATTCGAGGCAAAATAGTCATGCTGCATGTCAAATCATGTCAAACTGACAAGGTAATATCAAAGATGAATGCTAAGATGAAACTGTCGGAAGAAAAACTTTCTATTTTAGTGTCTTCTTTCACGGTCCCTTTCATCCAATGAGAACCCCCCGTATTCAAGGTAAATTTGTGGTTTTGCTGCCCTCTCGGAAGAGATAAATTTTGCGCTCAATTTTATCAAAACAATCACACCAAAATCAGAGATGTCTCATTTTTTAATTACTCGATTAACAACTAATCGATTATTTTTTTGTTCGCTGTGCTGCTATTTTTCCACCAGAGAGAGTGCAGCACATGTTTGAAACGATCGGTGATGATCCTGTGGAGATGTTAATGCTTATATCGGCATGATCTAACCGATTATAAATAGTTTACTTTTCGGTTCGTTGATCGATTAAACAATTATTCGAATGAAAATCGGACATCACTAGATGAATGTGAAACGTCATTTCAAATATAAGGCCGTTCATAAATAATGATGCAATTTGAAAGGGACCGGGGCTAATCACAAATTACGTCTCCATGGTAACTGAAATAAACACGAGTGTTCACCGGTTGGTAATATCATTGAAATCAGTTTATCGTGTATCCGATGACATATGGCCATATTGGTATCGGTTCCTGGGGTCCCTGAATCTGTTCCTTTAGGCCATAGTACAATTTGAAGCAAAATAATAATGCAGCAAGTCAAATCATGCAAGCACGAATGCGAAATAGAAAATGCACACACTTTGATTTTTTGCCGAGATGGGCACCACCAAGCAGCTCGGCATTTTATTTTGCTGGATCTCAGTGAAAAACTTGCATGTCTGTTAGCAGAGATCTCGCAAAATTCCCGTTTGTTGGCTGACTCTCGGCAGGTTTGTCACTGAGATACAGCAAAATAAAATGCCGAACTGCTCGGTGCCAAGCAAACGATTAACGTACCCTATTCTAGTTGAAATTCTATTACTACACTATGTTTGTTTTGATTCGCTATGAAAGTTTGACAGATAACATCAGGGGTGTGTGGATTCATGCAGAACATGCAGGGGTGAGTGAAATAGTGATGATCCTGTGGAGATGTTAATGCTTATATCGGCATGATCTAACCGATTATAAATAGTTTACTTTTCGGTTCGTTAATCGATTAAACAATTATTCGAATGAAAATCGGACATCACTAGATGAATGTGAAACGTCATTTCAAATATAAGGCCGTTCATAAATAATGATGCAATTTGAAAGGGACCGGGGCTAATCACAAATTACGTCTCCATGGTAACTGAAATAAACACGAGTGTTCACCGGTTGCTTCTACTGCGTACTTCGGCAGTTTCAGTTGGAAGAACGGAGTGCCGAAAATGCTGTGGTTTTGACAGAATATGCTGTGGCTACCACAGTATTTTACATTTGGTCGTCCACATACAGTATTAAGACCTCGTTTTCTTCCAGATAGGACCCGAAACATAGTACTCACCGACATAACTGCTTGGTTGGAAACTTCCTAACTTTTTTTGTTTTTTTTTGGATATGGCATTCGGGGAAATGGCACATTCAGGGAAACGGCATTGGGGGAAATGGGTATTCGGGGAAGAGGCGTTTGAGGAAGTGCCATTCGGGAAAATGTAGCATAATCGTAACTGCAACCAGTTCGTTTTTGTTTGCTAATCTGGTTAAGATGTCATACTTAATTATCTTTGTTATTGTTATTGTTATTGCTCAGTTCACACCCTGGCTGGCTGCTGCCTACCGATCTGCACTTAAGCCAGGCATGAACCTACGGAAATTTAGTCGTGGCCTATGCTAGACCGTATAGCATAACGACTTTCCTTTCACTAGCAGGCTTTTTAGTCCCACTAGCGTCCGATTAGGGGATAGTAAGAGATTAAAAGAATAAAGAAGAGGGATAGAGGATTGTCTTGTTTTGCTAAAACGAAAAAAAAAAACACTCCGGCTTGTTGTGCAACATCAGGTTTGTTCGCTTTCATTCCGTTCCAAGGGGCAACGTCCATCGTCGTCGTACTCAAATACCTGGGAACCTCCAGAGGTGCACAGGGCCAACGTGAAAGACTTCCTTTCTGGGCAGCTGCTTGACCTGAGCCCAGGTCAAATTCCTATCGGCTTGCTTAATTTCCTTGTTGAAGCTCCACCGCCTTAGTATTTGCCTTTGCTGCGATGTTCTGGCGGATTTAATTCATAATCAAACAAGCCACAAGTTATATACCGCAGGCAGCGGTTGATGAGACCTGCGGCTTTTGAAAGTTCTCCACTGGTGCTGCACAGATTCCACGTGTTAATCGAAGTTTCGAATTTTGGTACGTTGACCAATCTGATTTGATCTCCGCTTTTGTGTAAATGTCATATTATCACCGAGACCTTATTACCATCACCTTAGTGTGTGACATCAGGTGTACGCTTCTCTGTGTTTTCGTTACCAATGCAGTTAATTTGACACGTTTGTTGCATTTCCGTATGTCTCAATATTATTCTTGCTGAAACACCGTCAAACCCACTATCCAGAGGCAGCGAACCACCTTAACACCTGAAATTATACAAAAACAAACTAAACATTAGCACCAACCCTCCCGATTGCAACAGCTCCAAGCCATGCAACAGGATCATTTCGTGCCCCATGACAACTTGATCCAGTTGCTTCCAGGTTCATTGTTTTGGCGCCAGCCGGGAGAGACTTGGTCCTGTACCAAATGCTTTCCTTGTCTCCATTCCGCTCAGCTACTCGCAATTGATTGTGATATAGTGGGCGGAATATTACAAAGTGAGACAATTCAATGCAGACGTCTTCCAAATTTGGCCGATCGTCAGGTAATCAGTGGGTTACCACCTGGCACACCTCTTAGCAAACACTATGCTACGAAGCGGACCGGAAGTTTCAATGAACAACCTCCCCCCAAGATGTCATACTTAATTATCTTACAGATAAATCGTCCAGCTCAAACCTTTGTAGATGGGACCATAATCATCATCATTTAATTCGCTCAAACAAATCTGAAGGCTGCTCAACTGGAGTGCTCTTCTAGACATAGAAAAGGCATTCGACAGTGTTGGGCGTGAAGGTTTGATTGCCAAATTGAATAGTTTAATTTTTCACTCTATACCTATTATGAAATTAATTCAAAATTATTTAACTGACATAACTCTGCAGGTGAATTATTAAAATTCTGTACGATTAGGTACCTGTTAGAGCAGGAGTTCCTCAGGGTGGAATTCTTGGGCCTATATTGTATAACATTTCCACTTCGGATCTCGCTCCCTTAGGGTTGCCACAATTCTTTGTTATTGAATATAGGTGATTAACGAAAGAGTAAGGCGATGAAGAAAATCGACCAATGTTACTTAGGACCTAATCAATTGTTCAGCTTGATTTGCTAAACAATTCGATTTTTGTTTGATTGGGATTGGGCAGTGGAGGGTTAACTGTAGCACGATGTCACCCGAGATTGACTTCAATTATTGGACACTGCATTTCAGAGATACGATGGTTGAACTTGTTTTAGGTACAGCACACATAGTTGCGGGACAATTTCTCAAAGAACTAATTAAAGCCACCATCCTTCTTACGCGGAATGCAATTTTATAGAGGGTTTTATTCTCATATTATTTCTGCTCATCGACAAAAAATGTACAAGACAATACGAGCGTACGTCGCTCCCTTACCAGAGCGACGCAGCGACTCCTTCTTCACACCAAGAAAAAAAATAATAAATTTAACTTTTTTTTTCAATTGTCAACAGTCAATCAATCATTGATCTTCGTTTCCGATCCTACTGATTGAAAAACGACTACCAAATTAAAAGTAAAACTATATTCACTAAATAATAAATTGATATAACAACTTGATTGCCTTAACTATAGTAAAACTTTTTGTTATCTGTTTGATACGATTAATTAGCGTTCTTATATAATTATACATCTATATGTCCTATAATGTAGTTCAATCGAAAGTTTCTTCTCTTTTCCCATTAACCGTGGCTTAATTTATGTATTATAGTACGTTTCGCGACGTCACAATCTATTCTAGCTGAGAGTATGCTTCATAGATCTCTGTTTTATATCCCCTTTGATTATCGACTCTCATTTCTGTTTGTTGTTGATGTTATGTTTCACCACGTTTTTAAAGACACGCACCGCATGCAAGTGGAAATTTGAAGACATATTCGATTGGATGTTCGTTTTTACTAAATCTTTCTTATGCCAGGACGCTCTTCTCTGCCTTACCCACTAGTATTTGTTTCCGTTTCTGTTCTGCCGTATTGTGTGTTTTACCGGTTTCTGCTAACTGTATATTTTACACTCACTAAGTAGATTTTGCATTTCTTAATGTTTACAATGTGTGTAAATAAATTTTAAACCTAAATACTCCTGTAAAATGGTGACCTAGAAGCATTAGTATGGATGTTGATCGTGATGCCGGGGGCCCTACATTTTATATGGACGCACATTGCTGCGCTGTTGTTATGTATTTTTCATTTTGAAGTGTGTTTTTTTTATCTTTTTGCACTAAGTTACACGAACATTTCTGTATGTTTACTGAAAACAATAAAACTGTTTCAAGGAATTTCGCGGGTGCTTAGTCCTCCAGGTTGCGGAATGCCTGCTGCAGGTCTTCGTACAGCTGGTCGAAGTCGGCCTTGATCTTCGCCTCACCGTCCTTCACTGGGTCCTGAAGAGTGGGTTTGTTTTTTGGAGGAAAAAAGGGAAAACAATTACAACGTGTTTTGGATTTCCAGCTAAGTTGGTACTTCTAACAATTTAATTCAATTCCCACGTAGGCTTGAAACGAACGTTTTTTATGACAAACCGAAAAATTCGAACCAATAGCGGAATTGATGGAATTTACGAAATAATAAGAGAAAATGATGATTGCGTGTATACCGAGTTAGATGAAAATGTATGATACGACTGGTGAGATAGATTCAATATTCCACGCCGTGTTTATAAAAGTCATGATTTTGGTTGGTGAAATTTAAAGCAATTTTTATATATATATAGGGGAAATGGCTCTAATGTTGGCCTATGGATCTAAGATTGGGCCCATCGCTAAAAATCTGCTATACCTATATCAATTTTATCTAGATGAACGCGTCATTGGGACGGTACTAATGGATATTTTTGGTCACTATTGAAAATTTAGTCGATTGCTGAATTTATGTATGGGTCCAAATTAGGGGCATTTAGGCCAACAATCCATTTCCCCTATAACGGTAAAATATTTCGCAGAATTGAAAAATAAACAATAGCGGAATTGATGAAGCTTTTTGAGGAAAACATACCGATCCCATTAAATAATAGTTCGCGTTGAAAAATATCTTGACTTGCATGAGAATAGAGAAACAACATTGTCTCGTCACTAGTGATCAAAACGGTGATTGTTTCTTGCTACCTACATTCGCTTCATATCTGTGGACTACAGTATGAAGTCACAAGTAGTCACCCGTCGTCAACCGACGATTGTGCAAAAAAATCCGTGCATCTGGAAGAGATGTTGATATTGTTGTACTAAACGACCATTATTCCAAATTAATGTATGCCAAATGACTATTATGCCAAACGGCTTTATGCCAAATGATTGTATGCCAAACGGAGTAGCCCCTCGGTAAAACATAATCAAGCGCTGGATTGAGATCTGGCAAGATATTGCAACAGCAACAGACACCCAGGGACTTATGGCAGTGGAGCTCCATCAATGAAAGAAATATAATGGAATCTTTCACGTAGGCTGTATGTTGAAATTGTCAATGACTTTCTTAATGGACATTACGATTGATGCGATTTGGATATGACGGGAACGAAAAACTACACATGATCAATGGCAGGTTTGATAAAATTTACTGTAGGTACATGATGGCTGAAACCATGGAAAGTTTGAAGAAATGGTGCGCGGAATTGATGTAATCAATTCTAGGATCAATGTTTTTTATAAGGGAATTCGAGAAGTCTAAGGGTCGAATTCTTCACTTCCACTTTAAAGGTGACTTAAGTGGAGGTGAAGAATTCGACCCTTAGACTTCTATGGGTAAACCTGGCTCAAGACTTCAGCGCAGGTGAAGCAAGACTGCTGAAATCATAGCGGAATCATTGATATTATGACGGAATTTATCTAATGTATAGCCTTATTGCTGAAACCGATAGCGCGCATTCAGTTTTTAAGATTTCTTCTTATTGAACGTAATGATTATCCGTCAATTTCAAATTTGAGATCATCGAAAAGAGTCGTGTGTGTTGTCCTTCGAATCCAATGGGAACTGATTGAATGAATCACCCCGGCGAAAAACAAACTCCACCACTTACCTTGAACTTCATCGACGACAGCTGGTACAGGATGTTGCCCATCGAGTCACGGATCACGTTCCAGGTGATCTTGTTCTCCGACTGTGCGGTGGTTTCCACAGCGTGGCGGGCCATATCGTAGAAGCCGATAATGTTTCGCAGCATGCCGACCGTCTTGTAGAACGGACAGAACCGATCGTACGCCGAGTACGAATTCTGCTGCAGGAAATCGTCCTTCAGCAGCTTGGCCACTTCCAGCGTAATCTTGTCGGTTTCGGCCAGCGACGCCTTACCGACCAGCTGCACGATTTCGGACAGATCTTCTTCCTCCTGCAGGATCTCCTTGACCTTGGTACGCAGCGGGACAAACTCCTGGAAATTCTTGTCATAGAAGTCGTCCAGGGCGCGCATGTACTTACTGTTTGAATCCGGTAACGAGTTTAAATTACAATCTAGCTTATTAACAATGTGCATTATGTAATCTTACCTGTAGGAGATCAGCCAGTTGATCGAGGGGAAGTGCTTACGCTGGGCCAGTTTCTTGTCCAGACCCCAGAAGACCTGTACGATACCGAGGGTGGCCGATGTGACGGGATCGGAAAAGTCACCACCGGGTGGCGATACGGCACCGACGATGGACACGGAGCCCTCGCGTTCTGGATTACCGAGACACTTTACACGGCCGGCACGTTCGTAGAAGGAGGCCAAACGGGCACCCAGGTAGGCAGGATAACCGGAATCGGCAGGCATTTCAGCCAGACGACCAGAAATTTCACGAAGAGCTTCGGCCCAACGTGAGGTCGAATCAGCCATCATGGACACGTTGTAACCCATGTCACGGAAGTACTCGGACAGTGTAATACCGGTGTAGATGGAAGCTTCACGAGCAGCGACAGGCATGTTGGAAGTGTTGGCGACCAGAGTGGTACGTTTCATAATGGACTCAGTGACACCGTCAATTTCTACCGACAGCTCCGGGAAATCACGCAATACTTCAGACATTTCGTTACCACGTTCTCCGCAACCGACGTAGACAATGATATCGGAGTTGGAGTACTTGGACAGGGCCTGCGAGATGACAGTTTTGCCGCAACCGAAAGCACCGGGAATGGCAGTGGTACCACCCTGGACGCAAGGGAACAGCGAATCCAACACACGCTGACCGGTCAACAATGGGTGATTGGCGGGCATCTTCTCAGTCACTGGACGTGGCTGACGGACGGGCCACACTTGCAACATAGAGTACTTGTTAATCTCACCGTCGAATTCCGTCTCCAGGATGATATCATCGACGGTGTAGTTGCCAGGTGGAGCAATGTAACGAATGGTACCCTTGGCGCGTGGTGGAACCAACAGTTTGTGCTTGACCAGAGTATTTTCGTGCACTAAACCGTACAGATCTCCACCGGTGATGTGTGAGCCAACCTTGACGTTCAATGGGTTGAATCCCCAGCTCTGGGTACGCGACAAGCAGGGAATGTTGACACCCTTGGGAATATAGATCGAGCTGGTCAACTCGTTAATATCTTTCAGCGGACGCTGGATACCGTCAAAGATGCTACCCATGATACCTACATGATAAATAAAAAAAATATGCAAAATTTAGAAATGCCAGCAAATTAAACTAGCTGATACAACTTACCAGGGCCGAGTTCGACGGACAGTGGCTTGCCGGTACGCAGCACGGGATCTCCTACGGTGACACCAGAGGTTTCCTCGTATACCTGGATGGTAGCCATGTCACCCTCCAATCGAATGATCTCACCGACCAGTTCGAAATAACCGACACGAACCAACTCGTACATAGCCGAACCGGACATCCGCTCGGCCGTGACGACTGTGGGGGAGGAAGAGGTGGACATTTTCCAGTTAGTGAGGATTAGAACGGATTCCCAAATAAGCGTGTGATTGCTGAACATGATAGGAAAAATTGCAACTCCGCCCGAATGATAATGAGTAGAATAACAAGTGAATGGAGGCTTGATTGCTCTAAAATATTATTGGACTGCCCGACCCAAAGTGAAAAATTTCATCAGTTCGTGACCGACTAATATTGGAGACAGACAGATGTTCTTCTTCTTTGGCGTTATTACGTTTCTATTCAAACGCCGGCTCTCAACTCTGAGCACTTTCACAATTGTTAATTGACAGCTCTCTAAGCCTGTACAGGGTGGTCACTGAATTTAAGAAATTAAATTTCCGTGTTTTCCCGGTTTTTCCCCGTTGCCCAACATTTTTTTCTCGATTTCAAATATGCTAAATATGGTAAAAAAAAAAAGGAAACCGGCATACCTAGTAGTAGTCACATAGTCATTATGAACGGAGTTCCAATTTCTTGGTCAAGTCAAGTGAAATATCTTGGATTAGTACTCGACCAAAAATTAACTTTCAAAGATCACAATGCGGGCATTCAAATCAAATGTGACAAATATATAAAATGTTTGTATCCTCTTAAAAACAGGAAATCTAAACTTTGTCTGAAGAATAAACTTCTAATATTTAAACAAGTTTTTAGACCGGCCATGTTTTATGCTGTGTCATTATGGTCTAGCTGTTGCACTATCAGGAAAAAAGCACTTCAAAGGATTCAGTACAAAGTTCTGAAGTAACTTAAAGTTAAAGTTGCTTCCCTGGTACAGAACTACCGAGGTACATATAATTTCGAATGTTGAGACTTTAGAACAAATGTCCAACAAAATAACTAACAATTCCAGACAATAAGTGTTGCAATCAGCAATTGCAACAATTAATTCCCTTTATACCTATATAAGATTTAGATTTAGTTTTTAGTTTTAGGATGACAATTGTTATACTGATATGCAGGCATAGAAAACCTGTTTAAAATACTGAATAGCCAAAGCAGGAACAATGGAAACACACTTAGATATATCTAGATAGAGCTGGAATTAGAGCATAGGTAACAGGTTTTGTAAACAATGACTTCTTTGGACTTTGGACAACATTTTAGGATTCTGAAACTCCGAAGCATTGGCTAGATAATTATGATGAGAATGCCAAATGAGTTTTGAGGAGAATTGTAGCTGAATTCTAGGGAGAATTATAAAGGAATTCTGTGGAGAATTTGAAAAGAAATTTCAGGTAATTTTGAGAAGTATTTGAAGAAAACTGTAAGAAGAACTATACTGCCTATAGTCGCATATCAGTCCTATATGGAAATAGCAGGCATTGAGAAAATGGCAATCGAAGTTACGAAGGGCAATTACCATGTAAATATTTGAAAAATCAGGGTAAATTTATTGATATTTTTTTCATGTTAAAATCAGTTGCAATGAAGCTTGCATGTTTTGTTATATCAGCGAAAAATATGACTATTCGAAAAGCAGAAAATGTAGGGAAATATTCGAGACATCGGACTTTGGCTTGAGATATATATATACACCTTTAAAGCTGTTAACCACTATGCCGCGGGGTCATCCCCCTAAAATTATACACTCAGCTAAATAAACTATTGATAAAAAAATACCTAATAATGACTAACAGGGTGGCAAGTGAATTTCTGATTTGAAATTCCTGATTTTTTCCCGGTTTTCCTGGATTCTTTTAAAAAAAATTATGGTTTTTGAACAAAGCTTTAAATCTATCAGTTTTGCAGATTTCCTATAATTCTTCTACATGGGAGAAACGTCTTAAGTATATTACTTATGTATTTAGTAAAATATTTAATAATATGCTTCGTATGCATACTAAACTGGTTTCTGGAAACAGAAGTAAAATACTTATTCCATTAAGTATATTCAACGTTCGCTGAACTGAGTCGACTTTTCACCAACCAAAGGGCATTCGCTAACTAAAATGCATATCATGTGACAAACCAGATACTAAAAAATACTTAAAATACATCAATGCTCATCCGGTTCATGTCAACAAATTAAAATTAAATTTTGACAGACTGAGTATTCGTTTCAGTCCAAGGTTTTTCACTTAGCTAACGTCTACTGTAATCAAGAGGCTTAAGGCCAATTGTTTGACCTCAACTCAAGCCTTAATCCTAGTTTAACTAAATGGGTACATTAGTCCTTGGCGATATTGGCATTTATGTCATTAACACTCAGAAAACGAAGCCTTCAGTAAAATGTGTAACGGCAAACTTGAAATGTTTGAAAAATCATAGCTCAACCATTTATTGACAAATTTAAAATTTATTGGCACCATCTGAAACTTACTTTAAAGATTCATTCGGTTACAATAGATTTAAAATCTACTGATAAATTGCAAAGCAATGATTTTTCAAACATTGCCAATTTGCCTTCACACATTTTACTGGAGGCATCGTGTTTGGGTGTTAAAAATCAAAAATAAACTGAAAAAAGTTTTTACATAGTTTCTATTAGGACGCACATAATATTTTTCCAAAAAAAAAAATTAATGATTTTTATCTGAATAATAAATGCTATGTGAATAATCATATAGATTTCTTTGGACACATAAGGTTCATGTGATTTAGTGGTGCAATTTCCAATTATGGGATCACATGAAAGTTATGTGAAATTCACATGGATATTTTTCACTGGATATGTGATTTACTTTATGAGTGTAGTCCGCAAGCAAATAATGCAGCTATTATTAAATATTTACATCAATTTTCCCTGTAGAGACGAACCAGCTAAAGGCTGAAAGTCTCTATAATAAAGATAATAATAATAATAATAACCAATTTCCCTTAGCCTCCCTTATCTCAGTCGGTAAAGGCGAAACCACAGACAAACAGACATAACACATTGGATATTTCTCACTGTAAAACATCGTTGCTAAAACATTACCGCCATCTGTTGAGTACACTGTGGTGGGTAGTAAGCTGAACAGATGGCGATAATATGTAAACGTCAAACGCAAGGGAATTGACTATGCGGTACTACCAACTAAGATACTTTTAAATTGACTGTTAAATGCTTGTTCGATTAACAACTTGCGAGTGTTATGTCTGCTTGTCTGTGGCGAAGCTATTTATAAAGCAAGACCATGCTGGAGGCGGCTGGGTTCGAATCCCGGCCCGGTCTAGGTATTTTTCGGCTTGCCACACACTATTACTAATGAAAAAATGGTACAGGCTTAGAAAACTCTCAATTAACACCTGTGGAAGAGCATCTAGAACACTAAGTTAATCTAGCAATTAAAAAAGTTTTAACATTTTTTGGGAATGTTCTTTTAAAACAATATTGCGTATTTAAGTGTTAAGATGTTTCCTCTGCTCTTCGAGCAATGATGCTTCTTTTTTAGAAGTTGCAAATATGTTTGCTTGTTTAGCCTCCAACTCCTTAACATTAAAGTGTGAGGTAAGGGACCGTGCACTGATCTATATGAGCTTTCACCGTGGTTGTACTGAGAAAATAAAGCATTTTTTTCCTCTGTTCGGGACCTAAACACTACTGCGACCAGTAAATTGGTCTATTGTAGTATATCCCGTGTCCTTAGTTTAGTGCATGCCGTATTACTCCATCACTATTGAGAAATGATGAAGTATTCGATTTTTTTACAGTTGCCTCTCTTGCATTTATCGCAAGGATCCGACTCTAATTGAAAGGTACCGCTATGTATACCCTTCGGAGTGTTGAAACACCCTCCAAAGGCGCGCCCCTTTGTCAGTCAAAATTGGATTCCTTAGCAACAAAATTAAGGAATGACACCGATAATGACCATGCATCAGAACCCTAGTCTTAACCACTTCCAACTAGGGAACAACGAATAGAAGATTAGGAATCACATAGATGAAGACAACGAACTTCTTTTTTTTTCCTTGTTTCAAGATCATCCTCGGTAGACAAAGCCGAGTCTTGTCACTATCAACAAGGCATAAAAAGTAACAAGGACTAAGATGAGTTCCTTGGATTACTGAAAAATCGTGTTCCCCTAGTTTGAAGTAGTTAGGACTAGGAATCGGTGGTAGATCTTACATCCCGTAACGTACCACAAAAAGGTGATCTACCCACGTTACGGGGCAAATAAAGCATAGTTGCGTTGTCATGACAGCAGCAACGAAAGCTCTGATGCTTTTCTGCTCGATTATCAAAGTGTATTGAATATACAGGTATATTATTTTGCACGCATCACACATAAATAATAACGTTATCATTTCAAACCGACATGCAATCTGTAACGTATTAGTTTTCCTGGTGTTGTTTTAAAATTCCCGGTTTTTTCCCGGTTTTTTCAGGTAAAAAAAATTCCCGACATTTTCCTGGTTTTCCTGGTTCACTTGCAACCCTGTGACTATACAAGACTCAATATTGACTACAAAGTAAGCATTTTCGAGGGAAACTGGGACTACCCATTGAATGAGCAAAATTTTACTCATTTATGGGTATCTGTTACTCATAAATGAATATTTACTACGCATTTTTGTAGTTGTAATCACTAATAAGTGGGTAAAATTTTACTCATTTAATGGGTAGTCCCAATTTCTCGCGAAAATGCTTACTTAGCCGTCATTAATGGGTATTTTGCGGTTACCGTGTATATTTTTATTATTTTTAGGGGCCTCATAGCCTAGTCAGTAAAGGCACGGTATTACCAAGCCGGAGGCGGCGGGTTCGATTCCCAGTCCGGTCGAGGGAATCTTTCGGGTAGGAAATTTTCTCGACTTCCCTGGGCATAGAGTATCATTGTGCTTGCCACACAATATACAAATTCATGCATTGGTATTGGCATCAGAAGCTCTTAATTAATAACTGTGGAAGTGCATTTAGTAGAACACTAAGTTGAGAGCACGCAATAAGCTAATATGCGCTAAGAAATAAGCTTGAAATGCGAACAAGAAGAAGAAAAAGTGTATATTTTTTAGCCCCAAGAAATCGGTATGAATTTTGAAAACTAATTATGAGAAAATAATCATGAAACTGAGCAGACTGGAATCGAACCATGGACACAGAGAACAGGCATCCAAGTCAAATTCCTAAAGTGTGTAAGAATAGACATTTGAAACTGTGTCGCTGCCCATCGACGTCGATGACCAGTAGACGTCATCTTAACATAAATGTCAAAATTTTAGTGAGCAAAACATTCTTTGTTTGAAACCGATCAAAACATGGGCATAAACTAGGTGTGACCAAGCGAAAATCTTTTCACAATTTTCATAAGGATGATGAATTGCCCGAACTACAGGAGATTTTCTTCTTTCGTGGAGTCCCAGCGCTTGCGAATTCCTGGAAGAACGAATGCAGCGTAAGCAGTGTTCAAATCTTACCACATTTTTCTGAATTTAAATGAGGGCTAATTGGAGTTCACACCCTCACTGGATCATTTGAAGATACGTCGCCAGTGAACTCCAAAAAAGTCAGATTGGCTCCTGACTACTATGCCCAGTTAAAATTTAAACAAAAAACGGTTATATGTAGATCAACAGAAAACTGTAAAAGAGCTTAGTTTTTTATTCGAAAACAATGGTTCAGCAGAAACTCGATTTATTTCCGTTGTTTTGTCTTGTTTGTTTTGAACTGATTTGACAGTTGATTTCGATACACGGTCAATCGCAAAAAATGATAACTCGAGTCGCAACATTCCGTATGGCGGTGCTGTGCCAGTAGTGGTGAGATTAACACTATTAATCCATTGACGAGAAATTGCAACCATTTTCAAAACTTACGAGTACAAACCCTGAAAACCTAAAAAATGCGTGCCATTGCGTTTGTAACGGGGGGATTCGTAGATTCAATACTGGCAACTGTCATGTATTTAGATGTATCTGTATTCTGATTGCTTATAGTGAATCGCTGTGTAAGCTTTATTTATTATTAATCTCATTTACACGTCCGCAATTTCAAGAGCACAAATATCAGCTCTCATGAAACATATAACAAGAAAACTGGAACTTACCGTTTGCTGCAGTGCAGTTAACAGGGACTTCCAATTTCATGAGCGGTGTCGCAACAGCGTCCGAGATTTGTGCTCTAGAATACTTGAAGTGATAGGGCATATCAGCCCTCATTATGGCCATCTTTGGACTCTCCAAGGATTCTTTTTTTTTATTAATCTTTATTAACAAGATTTTTATCCTTGGCTAGTTCATGTCGGCAAGGAATCACCTTAAGGAAATCTATTCAGGAGTGACAGCTCTCCAATCAGAGGTCAGTGTTGCGTTGCGGCGAAAGAGACTATATTGATGTTGTAATATATACTTAACAACCAGATTGAAAGACCAAAACCAGACCGGGAAAGATGTAAAATCAGCAATTGAGTCGTTTTTGGAGCAGTGATAATCAGAGTTGGACACCCATGACCAAATCTTATCTCGTAGTTCTTGAAAATCTCAACATGTTATTTATATTTCAAAGATCGAGTGACAGTAAATGTAATTTTAAACGGATTGAGAAAGTGGTTCATTGATCCAAAAACCACAAAGTCAACGGTTTCATAATGTCGCATATTCCAAGCATTGTGTTTTTTTTAAATCCAGGAGTGCAATTAACATTCCCACTTTTTCAAATATCACTTGTTTTTTGTACGAGCTACTTCCCAAATGACACGCGCGTTGTGTTGTAAATTTGACATCGAGAAATATTAATGTAATAGGGGAAATGCCATCGCTAAAAATCTGCTATTTATCAATTTTATCTAGATGAACGCGTCATTGGGACGGTACTAATGGATATTTTTGGTCGCTATTGAAAATTTAGTCGATTGCTGAATTTATGTATGGGCCCAAATTAGGGGCATTTAGGTCGACATTACATCCATTTCCCCTATCAGATCGATAATATAATAGCTAAAAATACACTCAATAAACTTCATCATCATAAAAAAAACATTGCCTTGATTATTGCTACAAAAGAAAAGAGTTGATTGACTTTCGTAATTTTAAACAACTTTCGCGGAATTTAGGAAATTTTCATTTTTTTTAAGTCCTAAAATTTGACGGTATCACATATTAATTTTAAAAACATGAATTTTCTCGTAAAAATAAACTACATAATTTCCAGTACTACAAATTTTTCACTAACCTAATATTTAACATCGTTGCCTATATTCAATGATTTTTCAAAATTATCTTATCTATTTAGAAAACCGGCAATGACGAAGATCACAAAGAACAGGTGTCATCTGACTTTTAAAGGCGATTGTGAATATCTAAAAACATAACATTATGTAATGCTAAAAAACACACAAATGTGTTCTTGTTCACTCCATTGCTTCCCTACCCCAGGAGCTTCGAAAGGAACTAATGAATTTCCATTGATCTATAAACCCCAACTCTCTCGCATCGATGAGGCATTCTTCCAAGATCAATTATTAGAAAGAGGCATCCCATGAAACATCGGTGCATGTTACACTGCCAGACATTGGACATTCGGGTGCTGTGTTGGTGACGGAAACACGGCGACAGTCGTCGTCATTGCCAGTCGCCCTCACCCACCCTGCAGAGCGATATCTTCTCAATGAAAACATGACATCAAACATTCCGTAGTATGCAATGATAAACGCGAAACGCGAGTGTATACCATTACTACCGCACCGAATAGAGCTACTACACCAGCTGAGTATGTATCCACTATACTTTTGCGCATAAGACACATACACATACAAGTCATGTGACTGGTTTCTTTGCATTTCAAGATTTCGGGATTCGAATTATTTTGGACAAGATTGCGGCCATCCTTTCAATTCCATTAGGGTTACGATGATGATAATTATGTAAATCCCATAGCAAGGATAACAAAAGTTCACTCACCAGGACCGGATACGGCATACACGTATCCGAATTTGGACTCGCGGTCCTCATCGGCGATCTTCTTCAGATTGGACATTGTCTCGATTTGTTCCTCCTGCTCCGCTTTTTCCTCTCAGGTGTTCTGTAAATGCAGAAAAAAAAACAAAATTTACAAATAATGCCGACGCAAACCTTTACGATTTTCTGTTTAAAATGACCAAGCACCTCAACTTGGATGCCTTCTGTCAACATTAGCCACTACTGCTGCTCAAAACATCCAATCAGGTGGTAGAGGTCATGTGACCAAATCCAAATTTTCCCATATAATCTCTAGTTTCAGCAACAAATTCAACTTGCAAAATATGACTATTACAGCAAATTACGCTTAAATTTACAGCATAAATCCAAATTTAAAGAATATCATTACAGATTATCGATTGTAGATTGGATGGGTCACCTGAAATCCTACACTTTTGACAGCTCTCTTCGCTGGTCCACAGAAGAAGAAGACAACAGATAAAAATCGATCTCTTGCGAAAATGGGCAAATTTTCCACAGCGAACAAACGTCGATCCGGCTAATTCTCGAAACTGCCAAACTACAACACTTTTTTGCGGCTGGAATTAGAAAAACTTTAAACTAAAAAAATCACTTACGCAGTTGTCGGGATGGGAAAAAAATGCAATGCCACACACCGAGCGAAGCAAAATGGTATCACAAGACTGACTGACGGAACGGAATGAAGAGACTGGCCAACCCGTGCACAGCAGAAAGAATGAAAATTTTTCCCCACAATCACACACTGGGGAGGCACCCACACATACAAAAACGTGTCACGGGACTGGCACACGCACACAGTCTTAAAATCGTTGGATTATTGTTTTCTGCAGTTGGTAGCGATAAGTTTTAACAACAGTAAAATAGAGTTGGGTTTCGAGATTAGTGACGTTTAACGCATGCACACTACTGTTTTACGTGATACGAGTACTTCGAATACAACGTATAGTTCGTCTAATTTTACATTGCAAATGCTATGCAAAATTAGGCAAGTCATTCCCCTAATAGAAATAACCATAAAAGAGAGCTTAACGACGTGTTCGGGGTATCTTCCAAACCATTTGTGGGATAGTTAACCCATCCGGGATACAGTTTGTTTATGGTATTTGTTTATTAGTGACGTTGTATTCGGGGTACTCGTATACAACGTATATTCCGAGGTATATTCGATATAAGTCAGGGAACACAGTAGCGGATGCATCTCCGTGTAAAGTTGTTTATTATTTTATCTGACTAACCTAAAAAATATATGGAATTAGATCTTTCAAAATGAGTTTGGCAGTGATATCACAGACAAACAGGCATAACATATTGAATATTTCTCACTGTAAAACATCGTCGCTAAAACATTACCACCATCTGTTTCGTTTGTGGTGCTAGCATAGGTATAACATACCCCATTATAGTACAAATTCCAGTACTACACTATGTTTTTTTTGATTCGCTATGAAAGTTTGACTGATAAAATGAGGGGTTAGTGGATTTTCCTATGTTTCGAGGAGTGAATCGATTAGCTTGGGAACGAAGATAGTACCTGCGCTGAGCCAACAAGTTGAGCTAGTTTCTTCGGAACCTTCTGGTCTTAGAGCTACCTCTATGGAATTAGTGCGTAACAGCTTTTGTAAACAACCCAAGTAACCAGTAAGCATTAGAACAATGCTCTAATTTAGCACTATATTCACATATAAAACAGTGATTAAATGCTTATCATGCAGTATATACTTATAAAGGGCTGATATAAAGCTAAAAAGGCGAAATAGCGGGCTAATAAAATGCTACGATGGCAGCCTCAAATAAGCATTACTAATGCTGATCTAGGGTATCTTATAAAACGTCAAATTTTTTTACCGCGCTCTATTTTTAGAAATTTTTATATAAATTTAATTTATTTTCATCGACCCAAACTGAATGAAAACAAAAAAGAAATCTTTCTACAGGTCCCATAACTCATAGGTTTTTCTCAACTTATTTGAAACCTTTGTTCAATTTCATCAGGTTTGTTATTTTCCAGCGAAACATGTTTAGGGATGAGAAGTCAAATGCTTGTTCCTCTTGGCTAGCTTCTACGTATGATGCATCAGACAAGTGGTTCCACTCTTCTTCGGAATCTTCATCGGGACTATAATCTGTCAGGGAATTATCCAGGGAAGCTGTCTGAGAATTGCCTTCATCAGTCTCCTCGTCTGCAGAATTTGTTGGACGTTCCGGAACCGCACAAACAAATAATGCTGATTCTGATCCCAGTTCATTCGGTTGCTCAATTTCCGTAGCATTGGGAACATCAGAAACGTTTATATTACGATACACATGTACTTTTCGTCTGAAATGTCCACTTTTTAACGTTTTTTTCCACTTCTGAGGACCGTCCATGTTATTTTGATTTTATAAAGTATTTTTGATGATCAACACATAACTTTTTAGCCCTTCTAAACTTTAATCAAGCCCTTTATAAGCACTCAAGAAAGTTTTAATGCTAGGCTTTCTAAATGCATGTAAGCACTAAATCATTGCACTATATGCGCATACTAAGCTTTCTGTAATGCTTATTTTTATTAATGCTTCTGTGCACTAGCAATGCTAATATGAGGCTCATATGCATTAAAAATGCTAATATACGGCTTTTTGGCATTAGGAATGCTGAATTACCCAAGTAACCAGTAAGCATTAGAACAATGCTCTAATTTAGCACTATATTCACATATAAAACAGTGATTAAATGCTTATCATGCAGTATATACTTATAAAGGGCTGATATAAAGCTAAAAAGGCGAAATAGCGGGCTAATAAAATGCTACGATGGCAGCCTCAAATAAGCATTACTAATGCTGATCTAGGGTATCTTATAAAACGTCAAATTTTTTACCGCGCTCTATTTTTAGAAATTTTTATATAAATTTAATTTATTTTCATCGACCCAAACTGAATGAAAACAAAAAAGAAATCTTTCTACAGGTCCCATAACTCATAGGTTTTTCTCAACTTATTTGAAACCTTTGTTCAATTTCATCAGGTTTGTTATTTTCCAGCGAAACATGTTTAGGGATGAGAAGTCAAATGCTTGTTCCTCTTGGCTAGCTTCTACGTATGATGCATCAGACAAGTGGTTCCACTCTTCTTCGGAATCTTCATCGGGACTATAATCTGTCAGGGAATTATCCAGGGAAGCTGTCTGAGAATTGCCTTCATCAGTCTCCTCGTCTGCAGAATTTGTTGGACGTTCCGGAACCGCACAAACAAATAATGCTGATTCTGATCCCAGTTCATTCGGTTGCTCAATTTCCGTAGCATTGGGAACATCAGAAACGTTTATATTACGATACACATGTACTTTTCGTCTGAAATGTCCACTTTTTAACGTTTTTTTCCACTTCTGAGGACCGTCCATGTTATTTTGATTTTATAAAGTATTTTTGATGATCAACACATAACTTTTTAGCCCTTCTAAACTTTAATCAAGCCCTTTATAAGCACTCAAGAAAGTTTTAATGCTAGGCTTTCTAAATGCATGTAAGCACTAAATCATTGCACTATATGCGCATACTAAGCTTTCTGTAATGCTTATTTTTATTAATGCTTCTGTGCACTAGCAATGCTAATATGAGGCTCATATGCATTAAAAATGCTAATATACGGCTTTTTGGCATTAGGAATGCTGAATTAGTGCCAATATAGAGCTATGGCTTAATGCTTATGGTTACTTGGGTAGTGCCAATATAGAGCTATGGCTTAATGCTTATGGTTACTTGGGAATGACTTCTCTCATTGATTTCTAGCAACTCAAGGCACGCCTACACAAACCAACATATCCATTGGGTAGGAGAAGCCTTCCCCTATTCGATTGTAATGTTGATTTGCCTGGGAGAATCATGTCTTTCGAGAAATCATCGAGAGAAGTCATTGTTTACAAAATCTGTTACGCCCTAATTCCAGCTCTATCTAGATGGTCGCATCAATGCAACCGGATGTGAAAATCTCAATTCCTCGTAATTTTATCTCTATAGAGATGAAAAACTACCCAAAATTATGTATACTTTTCCCTCGACTTTTCCCTCAATAAGGCTGTCCACGAGACAGTTGCGATCAGCTATCTTTTTTGCTTGCCAAGAACTTTTGACCTCGCTTTTGACAGATCACAGTAGAACTGGCAGTTTATTCTCATGTGAATTTCTACTTCGTTTATGTTTACATTCAGCACCATTAACACCAGATCACTCACATACTTAGATTTCAAGCTGTCTGTTCCACTGGGGGGTTCAGCCCACACAGCAAAAAAAAATGTAATATCGATCAATGTAATATCGATCAATGTAATTCAAGCTGATGCATGAAATAATGATGTAATAGCAAAAAACAAATACAATATTACATCAATGGCTGTAATTTTGCTCGCAAAATCGATGTACATCGTACAACGTTATATTACACAACCGATGGATTGACCTGGTTGCAGCAGTTTGGATGTAATATTCAACAACTTTTTTTTTTCTGTGCAATAACCCAAATTTGAGTAAATCGCATATACACACTTAAATCAAAATCTGTCCTCGGTGAAATATATTGCTCAGTAAACTGAGAATTTGCCGAAGTTTCTTTAAACATATAATAGTTCACTGAAATTCGTATCTGGTTTTAGCCAAATTTCGGCAAAAAAAAAAACAATCATTTACCAAGCTTCGTCAATTGTAATCTCTGATCTAATTGGAAAAATCTCAAGCTGCTGAAATCAGCAAAATAATTTAACGAACAACACAGAAAAAAAAAATTGTTGAATATTACATCCAAACTGCTGCAACCAGGTCAATCTATCAGTTGTGTAATATTACCATAGAGGTAACTCTAATGGCGGTAAGCTCCAACTCGGATTAACTTTTAATACCGTCCCTGTTTGTATGATCTGAAAAATGTTTGCTCAGAATTATGTTGATTAACTCTGATGTCGACATCAAACCAGCCGGACATTCTTGATCGGGATTTAATCCGAGGATAATACCGGTTGGAGCTTACCACCATAAGACTAGTAGGTCCCGAAGAAACGTGCTCAACTTTTTGGCTCACCTCTGGTACTATCTTCGGTCCCAAGCTTGTCGAATCACCCCTCGAAACAAAGGAAAAACCAATAACCCCTCATTTTATCTGTCAAACTTTCATAGCGAATCAAAACAAACATAGTGTAGTACTAGAATTTTGACTAGAATGGGGTACGTAATCGATTTGCTTGGGACCAATAGGCTAGTCAAGTAGTGAGCCAATTTTCAATCGTTAGTTTCGTATTGATTGTTGATATAACGTTGTACCAACCAGTGGAAACTAACGATTTTAAATTGGTTCACTACTTGACTAGCCTTTTGGTCCCAAGCAAATCGATTAACGTACCCCATTCTAGTCAAAATTCTAGTACTACACAATGTTTGTTTTGATTCGCTATGAAAGTTTGACAGATAAAATGAGGGGTTAGTTGATTTTCCTATGTTTCGAGGGGTGAATCGATTAGCTTGGGACCGAAGATAGTACCAAAGCTGAGCCAAAAAGTTGAGCACGTTTCTACTGGACCTTCTAGTCTTAGAGTTACCTCTATGGTTGTACCATAGAGGTAACTCTAAGACTACTGGGTCCCGAAGAAAATCATTATTATTTTTGGCTCACTCAGTACCAGAACAACGGTCCCAAGCAGTCCCAAGCTATTTCACTCACCCCTGCATGTTCTGCATGAATCCACACACCC